TCTTTTTCCCTCACACGATTTCAGTGTGTTTGGAATTCATCTCAGGTTGTGTTTTGAACACACCTGGGCAGGTTGTTCTGGACCACCTCTCACGATTTCAACGTGGTTTGAGTGTCCCTTTCCTCACATGATTTTAGCGTGTTTGGAATTTGACTCAGGTTACGTTGTATGCGCGCCTGATTGTTTGTTTTTCCTCCTCTCATGATTCCAGCATGGTTGGAGTATGTCACCCTTTTTTTTTTGTATCTACTATACTATCATTGCATTCGCGCTATTTTGTGCATCGCGCTATTTTGCGCACATCATATGCACTTGTTAGTGCATTGCATTGCATTCGTGCTATTTTGCGCACATCATATGCACCTGTTAGTGCATTGCATTGCATTCGCGCTATTTTGCACACATCATATGCACCTGTTAGTGCATTGCATTGCATTCGCGCTATTTTGTGCATCACGCTATCTTCATCTGCACCTATCAGTGCATTGCATTTCATTTGCGCTATTTTGTGCATTGCGCTATTTGGTGCACATCATATGCACCGATTAGTGCATTGTATTGCATTCACGCTATTTTGCGCATCGTGCTATCTTGCGCACCTCATCTGCACCTGTCAGTGCATTGCATTTCATTCGCGCAATTTTGCCCATCATGTTATCTTGCACACCTCATCTGCACTTGTCAGTGCATTGCATTTCATTCGTGCTATTTTGTGCATCGCGCTATCTTGCGCACCTCACCTGCACCTGTTAGTGCACTGCCCGCGCTATTTTGCATACCTTATCTGCACTTGTTAGTGCAATGCATTGTTATGTACACGTCACTTGCATTGTTATGCTTGTTTTCATCACATTGTTATGCGTCACACTTAGGTTGCATTGTCTTGCACCCTTCCACCCGCGTTGTCTCGCACCCTTAGGTTGCATTATCATGTACCCCTTTTCGCATCATTATGCGCATGCTTAGGTTGCATTGTCATGCACACTTCACTCGCATTGTTACGCACTTTTCACTTGCATTGGTATGCATGTTTCTAACGATATTGTACCTGTAAAGTTTCTTTCTTTTGTAGGCACGATATTGTATGTATGGTTCATTTGAAGCTGGCGAGACTAGACGAACCGGACGGTATTGTATATTCTCTGCATGAGACGTAGCGAGAATTGTATAATTCTCTTACATCCTATTTGCATGTAATGTAGTTTGGTTTTTATTTGCTTGCTTAAAACTATTGCATATTATGCTTCGTTACAGCTCCCTTTGCATGATCATAAGTTATGTTCGGCACCGTGCATGTCCTATGCATTTTGCCCCTGCCCTTGAGCACGTATCTTGTTATCTTATATGCTTGTCAAAGTCTTCGGCCTTGTCAAAAATGGGTCATCTCTAGGCTTTGACATTCACTCCCGTCATTTTTATGACTTTCAAGTTCAATCAAAGAGGGGCAACTGTAGACACCCTATTTTTGACCGTCCTCAAGACTTGGACATCATTGTTTGAACACTTGATGATCATCCATGCTCGTGTTCGTTTTGAGTTCTCGGAGGTCTCGGCAGCACGCCTTGCCTCAAGCTCTCTCAACTTGACTGTTTTGTGATTGGTTGTGGACCAAGCACTTGTGTTTTTGCTTATGAGGGAAGAGGGTGGCTTGTTGGCCATTCCCTCAACCCACCGGCCAAGGCATGAAGCCATCGACCTTGTTTTCTTACCATCGGCCAAAAATTTTGGCCGATCGGCACTCTTTTTGGTCGATTGGCACTTATGTTGGTCGATCGGCCATATTTTCTGGTCGAGCCCTGTTCATCTGCTTTATCCAGATATTTTATGCCACCTGTCATAGCTAGCATCCACAATTTCCCCCCTCCATACACGTGTATGGAGGGATTTGCCCCTTGATTAGCTTGCTTAGGAAGCTTTAGAATTTGGAATTCTATAAGAAGGGAGCTCCTCCTCCCTTCTCAGAGGTTCTGAAAAGAGGGTTAGAAAAGTTGTATCTATCTATCTCTATATCTCCCTCTCTCTTGATTTGTGTGTGTATTTGTGCCTTAAAGTGTGATTTTGTCTTACTTTTGCACTAGTGTACCTAGTAATACACCATCCTCTTGTTGTTGAGGCACTAGGGAGTTAGTTTCAGAGTTCTTGGAGTGGTTTAAGCTTGGAAAAGTTGCTGGAATGGTGTTCTTGAAGAGGTTCTACAAGGGTGACTATATCTCCCTCTCTCTTGATTTGTGTGTGTATTTGTGCCTTAAAGTGTGATTTTGTCTTACTTTTGCACTAGAGTACCTAGTAATACACCATCCTCTTGTTATTGAGGCACTAGGGAGTTAGTTTCAGAGTTCTTGGAGTGGTTTAAGCTTGGAAAAGTTGCTGGAGTGGTGCTCTTGAAGAGGTTCTACAAAGGTGAGCAAACTTGCTTTTAATACCCCATTCTTGCTTAAGCTTTTAGCCCTTCTTCCTTATTGTTTTAAGCTTTGCTCTTAACTGATAAAAGTTCTATTTTTACTTGCTTTAGACCTTTGTTTAAGGTTGCTTTTTGGTTTGGGGTTGTTTACCCCCTCCTATGCCTTGTTTCGCCTTATTTTAGGCCATCCCTTTTGGCTCTTGTTCTTGGCTTTGCATAACCTTTCTACCATTGAAATCCAGAGGATTTTCGATGGTGGAAAGGTGGTTTTGGAGTCCTAAATAGGAGAGGATCATCCCCTCTCCTTGTTGTCTTGTATGCACGTATAAATGGCTTATATTGGTAGCATGTTTGCTTAGCTTGTTTTAGCTCCATTTCAGAAAGTATTTGGTGTCATTTTGCTATGATATACCTCTGTTTCAAGTTGGTTTAATGGCCTCTTACATGCTCCATATACTTGTCTTGCAATCCCCTCATTTGCCTTAACATGCGTTATGTTGTAACATGTCGTTCTAGCATGATTTTGGCTCAACTCCAAGAAGATTTTAGCCTTGTTTTAACATGCTAAAGCTCTATTTTCCATTGTCTTGATCATATGTGCGATGCTTTGTATAGCTACTATGCAATCTAGCTTGTTAGCTTTGAGTTTCGAAGTCACTAGCATGTATTACTTGGCTTATTTCAATGATTGGCATCATTTGAAATGTTATTTCAGTCCATGTTTCATGCTCATGTACTTGCACTAATCACTCCTTTAATGCTTTAAAGGGTTGATGTCCTATGCCTCATGAATGGACCATTGCGTATGCCTCCATGCTTAGGTCTTTGTGATGCCATCTAAGTGGGTTTTTGGACTTATTTTGATATGCCATAACTCTGTTTTTATTGGTTTAAGTCATGCCATGTTTGGTTTTGATAGGTGTAGTGTAACACCCTTTTGTAGCCTTGTATGCCTCATGCTTTTGGTGTTGTGTTCTAGCTTGTGTTGGCTAGTTTTGAGCATGTTTTTGGTCTTGTCTTGACCAGCCTTGGGACTGTTTTGAGTGCCCTTGGCCCTTTGGGGCTTGATTCTCATGGCCATGGTTTGAGTCCCTTGGCTAGTTTCAAGTTTTAAGCCTTCTTGCATAATTTGCTTGGTTTATTTGGTTGGTTTGGCACCTTTCCATGCATGATTTCAGAGCTTATCATGTTTGTCACATGTTCATACTTGTCCCCCTTTTAAGTGCTCTTGAAAGTTGCCGTCCTATGCCTAGGTGTTGGACCATTTACATGTGCATGTTTGCTTAGCATTTTGCTACTTCCAATCCATGATTTTGGCCACTGATTTGGCACTACTACAAAAGTAGTTAAAGATCACACTTTGACAAAAAAAAAAAGATCTCACTTTTTTTGGAAGTGTGATAAAAAAATTAGATTGGTATTTTAATCACACTTAATTTGATTGAGTGTGATAATATTTATTTTTTATGTCACTTTTCAATTAAGTGTGATTATATATATATTTTTTAATCACACTTTCTAATTAAATTGTGATTATATATACACTACTACTTTTTAATCACACTTTTTAAACAAGTGTGATTATATATATATATATATATATATATTTTTTTTAATCACACATTCTAATTAAAGTGTGATTGTTTATATATTTTTTAATCACACATTTTAATTAAAGTGTGATTATTTATATATTTTTTAATCACACCTTCTAATTAAAGTGTGATTATATATACATTATTACTTTTTACAATTGTGATTGTATAAAATATTTCAATTTAATTTTTATATAACATATACAATTCCCAAAACCCTTTCACTTTCTCTCCATCGTACCATCTCTTCTCTCTCTCTCTCTCTCTCTCTCTCTCACACTCAGGTCTCTGCAAAAACTCTTCAAACCCCTACCCTCTCTCTGCATCAGACGCCAAATCCCAAACCCTCCTCTCTTTCTTTTGCAAAAACTCTTCAAAGCCCTTACTCTCTCTCTTCTTTAGACCCCAAATCCCAAACCCAAACCCCAATCGGCATAACAATGAGTGAGAAGGAGAAGATGGACAAAGAAAATACACACAGACAGAGCCCTGAACCAGAAGAAAAGAACAAAGAAAGAGAAGTAACGACGGAGAGAGAAGATGGCCGAAAGGAGACAGAAGAGACGAATGCACGCAAAGAACACTTCCACCCTTCAACTAGGTTTGTAGATTCAAACTAGGGTTTTGATTTGGGGATTTTCACTAAAAAATCAAGGTTTTGACTGAGCAATTCCAAAATTATGTAAAATTAGTGAACCTTAAGGAACTCTAGTTTAACAAAAAATTTTGTAATGTTATTAATTTTCACGAGTATCCAAAACAGTGCGCACTGCAAACACTCGTACAGCCTGAAAAGGGTCATCATTTGACCGTGTTTGTAACCTTTGAGCTCTGGTCATGGCTTCAAAGAAGAAACCAAACAAGGCAAAGCGACCCAGACAAGGCTTTGAACAGCTCGACCGCTTCGATTCGCTTCCATGGAACTCTTCTCTCTCCAAAAACGACGACCCTTTCTCTATCTCTGTTGGCTCTAGCGAACTCGAGGGAGGGAGGTTCGATTAGTTTTCAATTTCAATTAAACGAAAATTTTGGGTTTTCATGCTGTTTTTCGTTATGGGTTTCTGTTAGTTTTTGTGCACATGCTTCAGAATTCTAAACAGTTGAGTTCTTTTAGTTTCCTGCATTTTCTTGGCAACCAAACAGGGGTTGATGTTGGAAATTTTAAGAGATGATGATATATACATATTTTTTGGTTGTGAATGTAGGTTTTCTATCGCTTGAAGAGATTGATGAATCTGAGTATGGTTTGGAAATTCCTAAACCTGAGAGAGAAAACAAGAAACAAAGGACTAAAGAAAATAAAAATGAGAAAAAAAGGAAGCATAGTGAAGTGGAGGATGAGCTTGGTGGTGAGGTTGAAGCTGTAAGTGAAGAGAAGGATAATAAAGTGAAGAGAAAGAAGAAAAAGAAGAAGAAGAAAAAGAAGAACAAGGATGCAAAGAATTCTGAGGAAAATGAAGAACCAACTGCTGGTTAGTGTTTTGAATTCTCTTCAATTTTTAATAATTTGAGTCAAAATTTTAAACTGCCGGTGGAGGTACCGGTGGTGGGGGTGGTTGTTGTGGCTGTTGTTGTTGTTGCCGTAGGGTCTCCGCCATTTCCATAATCATTCTCTCCATTCTATCCAGCCATGCAAAAGTAGCATCTTCTGTCTCTTCTGTCCTTGTCCTCACCATTGCCTACACAATAAGCATTTATACATAATAGACATATTTCAAAAGTATTAGCATTATCAGAGTAGACTTAACGTTGCCATCGCTCTTTCATATATTTTCAGGATGTCATGCAAGATGCCAAAAACTTTTCTAGACACCCTAAAGCCCAATGGTTCCGTGTGTGAGATAGCAACTCGTGCTCTGATACCACTTGTCACACCCCGAACTTGCCCCTAAAAGTTCGGGCATGACCCGTTCACAAACAGACATATAACCTGGTATATATAGCATATGGGGCCTTGACGGAAGCACAAAATATTAGAAGAATACAAAACCAAACAAACCCCATTGAGCTATTTCTAACATGCCAGGGTCTCATACATTACATGCACCATAATAGGTTGATAGAGTCCAAAAATATTCCTTAACAGTACTTATATATAAACACATATACAGACCCAGCCCTGTAGTCGGGCGTGTAACAAAAACTATTGAAGTTATATACATTCAACCTTGGAAGGATAGCCAAGAAGTAAGCTAATTATCTTAATAAACTTCACAAAATAGGTGGCCTCGTGAGTGCTTGGATACACGAAGGTTGACAAAAGAAACCGGGCGTCATAGGTTAGGATTGACCACCTGGTTGGTTGTCTACAGAAACAGACATAACAGAGAGTGAGCCGGGCTCAGTGAATAGTAATACATAATGAAACAATGCTCAACTTGAAACATGACATATAACAATATATATATAGAAGTGCAGAGGTCGCATAATTAGCCTGATTCTGTGTTCATCTTATAAGGGCCTCAGGCCTAATCTCGAACATAACAGTTCGCATATCACATCTTAAATCATAATGGCTTAAAGCCCTTGAACATGGTGGCACAAGGCCCTTAAACATGATGGCACAAGGCCCTTAAACAGAGTGGCACAAGGCCCTTAAGCATGATGGCACAAGGCCCTTAAACAGAGTGGCACAAGGCCCTTAAACAGAGTGGCGTTACGCCCTTGGATAATTTGGCATTAAGCCCTTGAATATACTTATGCGAACTCAAGAGGTGTCTCACACGGATTCTAGAGGTGGCTCACGTCGTAGCACTTAGTTCCGTGTAGCACTTTGTTTCACATCGTAACAACTTACATTGAATGGCCGTAGGCCCAGAGTCATATAGAAGGGAGGTATTTTATCTTTCCCATTTCTTTCTTTACATACTTGGAACATACTTGAACATTAACATACATACTTGAATTATGAACATAGTTGCATACTTGAAACATTAACATAATTGCGTGAACGAAATGCTAATGAAAATCATTAGCCATATGTAAAGCGGAGAGTGATATTACTACTCACAGTGTTGTGATGATGTGCTTGTTCCTCCCGGAGTGTGCCCTGCACACATTCAACCTTTAGAGTTTAGTTTCCCTTTCACTTTCTATTTCGTTTTACTTCGAAGGAATTTATACATATTAAAAGGCATCAAATACATATTTCGACAACATTAGAGGGTTCTACACGCAAAACGGAGTGATCCACGTTTTTCAGCATGGGCCGCACGTGCGGCTGTGAGCCCCGCACGTGCGGCAAAATGTCCCGCACGTGCCTTTTAGACAGTGGCCAAGCCCCTGTTTTTCACCATTTCCCGCACGTGCGGCCATGACTCCCGCGCGTGCGGCAGCACCTCCCGCACGTGCGGCCATGACCCCCGCGCGTGCGGCGATTCTGCCCAAAAATGTCTGAAAATTCTTGCAAAATCTCACCTTTTAGAAAACATGAACAAGGTTCAAAATAACTTCTCTAATTGGTATAACATGACCAAATTCATATAAATACAATGACAATTACATACATTAAACTATAGTTCAACATACACAAGTCCATAAGAGTTCTTTCTTTACATTACATGCCCATAAGCATACTTGATACAAAGCCATGCTCATACACTTGAGTTCAAAATAAGAAGATAGAATATAACTTCTCCATATTCAATTTCAATTTAATCAAACAACCAAGTAAAGTTATCTTGTTCATTAACTTCTTACATACATATGGAATCATCATTCCAACCCCTAAGTGACATGATCATGAGGGTATTTCACACATCCTAAGAAGAAGAGTTATGGGAGTCAATTGAGATAGTCTTATACATACCTTGTACTTAATCTTCCACAAATTCCCAACCTTTTTGATGATCTCCTCCCTCTACCCTTCAATTTCTCTCACTCCTCATCTTCTCTCAGGAGAAATATGATTCCTAAGTCTTAAGGTCATAAGACTCTTATAAGCATGTATATATATAAAGCTTGAATAGGGACAAAAATTAATCGTTTAAGCATCCCCAAATTGAAATTTCACAGAAGTGCTTAATATTACTTAAAAATTATGCTGATTATATATGTGAAATCAGTTTCAGATAACTAAGCCTCTAAGGCTTCCAATTTCTGATCTAAGCATTCTCATGTAACAGATACTTTTCTTGTTGAACAGATAGACATCCTTAATCATATGGTTTACTTACTTAATTTAAATTTCCCATAGGATTCCACAGTAAGCATTCAAAATCACAAAATAGGATCTGAAAATATAACAAAGAACATGTACGGGGGTAGGGTTATTACACACATGCTTCAGAATTCTAAAAAGTTGAGTTCTTTTAGTTTCCTGCATTTTCTCGGCAACCAAACAGGGATTGATGTTGGAAATTTTTTGGTTGTGAATGTTGGTTTTCTATCGCTTGAAGAGATTCATGAATCTGAGTATGGTTTGGAAATTCCTAAACCTGAGAGAGAAAACAAGAAAGAAAGGACTAAAGAAAATAAAAATGAGAAAAAAAAGGAAGCAAAGTGAAGTTGAGGATGACCTTGGTGATGAGGTTAAAGCTGTAAGTGAAGAGAAGGATAATAAAGTGAAGAGAAAGAAGAAAAAGAAGAAGAAGAAAAAGCAGAACAAGGATGCAAAGAATTCTGAGGAAAATGAAGAACCAACTGCTGGTTAGTGTTTTGAATTCTCTTCAATTTTTAATAATTTGAGTCAGAATTGTAATTCTGCTTATTTATTTTTTAGTAAATTTGTGGATCAGTATAAAATTTTGTTTGATTAGATTGAGGTTAAGGTTTCTTATAGATTTTGTTCTGAACATGTCAATGCTTTAGTATTTATCCATTTCTGTGCTAGATAAATCATAATTTGGTGTATTTTTGTCTCTCTACATATTAATGGTAATTTATTGATCTTTGGGTTGGGAATGCATTTAAGGTTGACAAGTTTTGATCTCTTTTTTCATATATAAATGATTTGGTAATATTTTGGTTCTGGTTCACTACAAATGTACTTGTTATGAGTCTGCCACTTATCAATTTCTAGGTCAATCTTAAAGTTAAGTTTATGAGATAGTGCAGACTGCTTCAGAAAGTGATTAAATTTGTTAGATAGTTTGTATTTTGGATTCAGTTTGAACGAGTGTTTTTCTTTTTTACAAAATTAAATTGTGACAGAAGTCAGTGATCCCAAGGATATTGAAGGAGATTCAGTTGATGAAGCTGAATATTACGCTTGGAATGAACTGAGGCTACTTCCCCTGCTTATGAAAGCAATATATAGTCTTGGGTTCAAAGAACCAACACCAATACAGAAAGCTTGTATTCCTGCAGCTGCTCATCAAGGAAAGGTTGATTTCATTTCTATAATGCTCTGTTTGGATCATTGCTTTGGGAAGCAATATATAGTCTTGGGTTCAAAGAACCAACACCAATACAGAAAGCTTGTATTCCTGCAGCTGCTCATCAAGGAAAGGTTGATTTCATTTCTATAATGCTCTGTTTGGATCATTGCTTTGGGAAGGTATTTGGAAAGGAAAAGGAAAAGGAAATGTGAATGAAATGTAAGCTAATTTTTTTCTCCAATTCTATTGCCTTTTCTTTTCATTTTCCAAATCACTACTCAAATTCATGATCCAAACACAACCTAAAGGTGTTAAATTGATAAACGGCAACATATGGCATGATAATCATCATATTAAATTCGTGTGACAGGATGTCATTGGGGCTGCAGAGAAGGGATCTGGGAAAACACTTGCTTTTGGTTTACCCATTTTTCAACGTCTTCTCGAAGAGCAAGAAAAAGCTGATAATATGTTTGCAGAAAAGGGAGAGGCAGCTGAAAAAATTGCTCCAAGTCGTCTCTTACGAGCTCCTATTATAACTCCTACAAGAGAGCTTGCACTTCAGGTACACATTGATTCGTTGGTTGTTTCCTTTTGTTTAGGGCTTAAATGATTTGATTTTCTGTTATGGTTTTTGTCGCCATTTTTTGTAAAGTTGGAAGCTCATGGGATCTATAAAATAATATAATTTTGCAATTTGTGTTTGTTGCTGTTGAATTTCTTTTAAGGCTGTTCTGGGAACTCAAACTTGGCCACCTGTTTTAATTCTGGCTGAATTTGACTGGTAAAATTTGATGAACAACAAAAGAAGGTTGCTTCGGAGTTTCATGATGCTTGATGACATGATGTTATGTTGTTGGCATCAAACAGACAGTAGGAAAACTACCTAGCAGTATTGTTTTACTACTGCCGTATGACCATTGGGGGCTGTTTGAGAAACTCAACAAATGGGTCAATTGACTTTTCAAAATGGGTGATCTGATTTCAAACTGCTGAACTTCTTGTTAAAAATGAAAATATTTGAATATGCTGCTAAGCTTATTTTGATAGGCTTAGTTTCCTCATGGTTTTCAGACTAGCTGTTAGATTAGTGGTTTTTTCATCCTCAACAATGATAGAGACCACTAATTTTGGAGCTCTAAAAAGACCACTAATGACATGGCACTCAATAAAAAAAGAAAAAAAAATACAACATCAAGGCCAAAACATCAAATCATTCCTGGTGGAGCCCACTGCCACATCATTAATGATAGCACTAATTAGTGCTCTCACTCATTTTCCTTTCATCCTAATTGTTGATTTTGTTTTTAAGTGTTTTTTTTTTTCTAGGTTACTGATCATCTTAATGAAGTGGCTAAAGGTACCAATTTTAGGGTGGTTCCAATCGTTGGTGGGATGTCAACGGAAAAACAAGAAAGACTTCTGAAAGCAAGGCCTAAGATTGTTGTTGGGACTCCAGGGAGGCTATGGGAACTTATGTCTGGTGGAGAACTTCATCATATTGAGGTTAGTGCTAATGCAAACTATAGACTGGTGTATATGCACAAAGGGTTCATGTTAGCACTCCATCAGCATTAAATAATAATCGTTACTTTATGTTGTGTTCACTAAACAAATTGTTCAATAATAGTTGCACTTATATTTTCTTAAATTCAATGTTTCTTATGGTAAGCCTCAGAGATTTAGTTGGACCTTCTTGAGTATCTGCAGAAAATAACTCTGTTACTTTGAAATATCTGGTTGATTCTCTACTTTTAGTATATAAGACTCGAAACTAATTATAAATTGGGAAAATTACACAAATAGTCCCTATAGTTTGGGACTTGTGTCACTTTGGTCCCTAACTTTTCAATTGCAACATATTTGACCCTGAATTTTGAATCTTGTTCCAAATAAGGACAATTGAATATATAATTAGATTTTTCAAGGGTAAAATTGTCAATTTGACAAAATATAAACTAATTTGACAAAAATAAATGTCAAACAAATATTTTTAAATTTTTAAAAATTATTTCTACCTACTAAAAATAAAATTATGTAAAATTGATAAATCTTTTAGACATTTATTTATTTATTTTTACCAAATTAATTTTTATTATGTGTTTGGATGATGATCATGTAAATTAATTTAAAAAAATTAATCATGTAATTTTTATTAATTTTACATAATTTTATCATTTGTGGATAAAAATATTTTTTTGACATTTATTTTTGTCAAATTAATTTATATTTTATGAAATTGACGATTTTTCCTTAGAAAAATCTAATAATATTTTCAATTGTCCTTATTTAGAATAAGATTCAAAATTCAGGGTCAAATGTGTCACAATTGAAAAGTCAGAGACTAAAGTGACATAAGTCCCAAACTATGGGGACTATTAGTGTAATTAACCCTTATAAATTCTTCACACATGCATGCAGTAAAATTACCGTATCTTTTTTGGTGAAAGTAGTTAAGTGAACATGAGTTGCAAATGATAGTTTCCATTTGAGGATATTTATTCCCATGAGAAATACATTCTTGACTATGACACTCTGACATTGAAGTTTTCAAAAATTGGTAGGGACCCTCCCATACTGCAGTGGTTGTTAAACAGTGTTACCAAAGGGTTAGAATGCTTATTTTTATAAACAAGTAAAAAAATGAAACATAATTAAAATTATTTTTTTTATTTTATAAATTCTGTACGATACTTCTGTCAATAACGTTTTAGCTTTTGCAAGATAATGTATAAATGTCAAAGCCAAGGATGCTTACAGTATTGGAAGGATAATGCCAAAATGAAGGGAAAAAGGAACTAAAATAAAGATTCTAGGTCTACTAGACCAGTTAATCTTTGTTATAGGCATGTTTAAAGAATAGACAATATGAACAGAGATGGAAAACTTAAAGCAAGACATAAAAGTTGGTATATTGCTAAGATTAATATTTGTATGTGTGCTGGCACATGTGCTTATGTGTGTATTGTGTGAGAGAGAGACTGTTTAAAGTGAGCTTCCACCTAATCCTGCTTGTGGCAGAGATTGAGTTCATTTGAGAGTTGCCTAGGCTTTGGGTTGAAAAATAAAGTCTATTTGGGAAAATTTTTGAGAAGAACATTTTGGCCTGAATTGCGAAGGTATGGTGCAATTACAAAGATGGGTCTATGCCATCTCTACCTACCTCTTGATGAAGTTGTCAAAATTAGTGATTTAATTAACAAAGGATTTCTTTCAATTGGAGTTGGTAAATTTAAATTTGTGAAAGAGCATTTAGAATCAGCATTGAGTTAAAAAAAGTTCAATTCTCATAGAAGGAATAGAAGTATGCTTGATAATCGAAATTGCAATCCAAATTATGAATCAGGGAAACACCACAATTCACGTCAGATTTTCATGACATGTCAAAGCACTATTAGTAAAAGGCTCTAGAAGAGGAAGCCGCCCTTGTAGATCTGTAGGAACAATATCAACACCCACAACTCTGTAGATATCTTACGATGAATAATTCCCTGACTCTACATCTTCTTTTTCACTAGTAACACCGACTAACCACAATGTGTTTGCATTGAATAAAATTTTCCAAGATTCATCAAATTTTTTTAATGTTCTTGAAATGATGGAAACTCAAGGAGATTATGGTATACAAGAGCATATATCCAATCTTGATCCTCAGGATATGCAGGTGAATATGTATCTTGATTAAGAGTTAACTTTTAGAATGTAAATAAGGGTTTGAGAGAGTTGTTGGTCTTCGAAGTCGTCTTAGGTTTGATATTTTACACTGTAAAAATATTAGAGAGTTTTGCTTCTCATTTCTCAATTTTACTATGATGGTATGGCAAGTATTATCTAAAAATGATTCTCTCTCTTTGGCTCACGGTAATTGCTGGAAGTTGAATGAAGGTTGTTGCTTCTTGATCCTCTTGTGACATGTCCCATCAAATTTATTAACATAATGTTTCTACAACTCCAAGGTTGTTTGTACAGTCGATCTGTATTTTTATTTTTATTTTCATCTCTCTCTGAAGTATCTAAGTATCAAAGTCACTTATAGGTCATTCCACTACAGTTCTGTTTTCATTTTTCTTTTCGCTTTTCACTTCTATGAATTTATGCATTTGAAATATTCAGAATTTATTAGATTTGGAATCCATTGATGCCAAGTTTTAGCTGGTAATCTTTCTTATAGAACATCAAAACTTGAGTCTAATATTTTGAAATTTGTTTTAGAACAATTTCTCAGTTTTTTATCATTTAATTCCCAGTGAAATTTTAGTCCATGTTGTGTTTCTGCTGTACACACCAACAGAAAGCTCATGAAACTTAGTTTTCCAGGTCAAGTGACAGAGTTTGATAGTCCAGCAAGGTTATTAGATGACAAGTCTTCCATGTTTCTTAAGTTGGTGTCAGAGCACTCATCCAGATCAACTAGTGCTCTTTGCATAACCATTTAGCCTTGTTTTATAGATGGAATCCTTCAATAATAGCTTGGTTCTTTCTTTCCTTTGATCACTTGAATTTCTAAATTCTAGGGTGCATTTGGTTTCTATTTTAGTCAACGGACACTTCACCCCTCAAGAATTCAAGTTTCTTTTTTCATAAAAAATTGAGTATATATATATTTACTTATTTCTCAGTATGTATTTCTGGGTAATATGAAGTGTATTGAGTGAGAATTAGCTTGTTGTTGTAGTAGATGTATTGGTTAAATTATCAATTTTAGTGCTAAATCTGATTCTCTGGCCATTTCTATTGTTGTTTGTTATGTTTAGCCATTTCTTTATTTTGGGTACTTGGAACTTTAACTTGTTTATAAAATACTCTCTTTGGTGTATTTTCTATCACTAGTTTGCTTTTTTAGATGTGCCATTGATGTGTAAGTAATGGCTTTGTGACATTCATTTCAAAGGTTGTTTCTTGTAGTGATTGATTTATCTTAATCTATTGTGGTTTAATAGTAAGGGAGGGTGATAACAGCTGACTATTTGCAAAAAAATTGTGCTCTAGGTAGTAATGTTAATGTTTGCCCTTTTTGTAAAAGTGAAGTTGAATCTAGCAACCATGTTTTGTTATTGTGCTCTAAGTCTGAGCTACTAAATTGGTGGGGTTTTTAGTGAGCAACTCCAGATTGACTTGAGGGTGTGCTCCAATGGTGGTCTGGAGTGAAGCTAAGTAAATTGGAAATGAGTGCTAGATGTGTATATAAATACTGTCATCTTTATATATGGTAATCCAAACATTTTATACTAGTAACAATCAAAGTTATTCATTTTCTATTGATGCAGGAGATGAAGAGTCAGTGTAATGAGAAAATGTCCGATTTTGTCTTTTGTAAGACAAGAACAGTCTCTACAAAAATAGTAAGTTTATTCATATACTTCTAGCGGTTTCTGAATTAATTTGTCTTTTTATTTTTCAGGTCAGAAATTTCTTAGAGCGATGCCAAATATGGTCAAAGAATTCAAGAAATTAGTTTTTTTAAGTTTTTTCATTTTTTAATATATGTAATCACAGTTAAAAACTTTTTATTAATTTTTTTGTATGTACTTTTGAACATTTAACTTTCATTTATGAAATATATGACGTTATTCCATTCAATATATGGTTGTGATTCAAAATATAGTATATAGTGTGTATTACATTATTCAAATGCGCGTACAAAAATAATATTATCACAGGTTTTATTAATTATTAATCACATTTCGAAGATGTGATCTAAATGTTAACATCACACTTAAAAGGTGTGATCTAAATGTTGTTAATCACACTTAAAAAGTGTGATCTAAATGTTATTAATCACACTTAAAAGGTGTGATTTAAATATTTTTAATCACTCTTAAAATGTGTGATCTAAATGTTATTAATCACACTTAGAAATTGTGATCTAAATATTTTTAATCACACTTAAAATGTGTGATCTAAATGTTATTAATCACACTTAAAAGGTGTGATTAAAAATGACTCTTTTTAATCACACTCCCAAAGATCACACTTTAATAAAACTTAAAAAGTGTGATTAAATAACATATATCACACCAAAAAAGTGTGATCTTTATTTGTTTTTGTAGTAGTGTGGGCACGTTTAAGAGTTGCCCACTTTAGTTTAAGTCCATCTTTGCATGTTGTTGCATGCTTACTTCATTTTGCATGTTGTTGAATGCCATGTATCTTCACATGTTTAGGTAGTATGCAAATTTCATGTTAGATGCATTGCATGATCGTTGCATACTTGTTGCATGCTTGAGTTGTTCGCATCATGCTTGCATGTTTGCATTGCATTATGTGTGCATCCCTTGCCTCTTGATCAAGCATGATAGAGGTTGAGGCACCCTTATGTGATTTTGTGCATTTCATTTGACATTGAATTGCACACTTGGTTCCTTTGGCCATCATGCATTGGAATGCGTGATTGGTGGCCCGAGGGTCGAGAGCCACACACCTTTCAGTCTTAAACATGATAAGGAGTGTGGTTGCAAACATTTTCTTGCAAATGCATTGCCATGCTCTGTTTGTCCTCTGTTGCAGCGAAAGGAGCAGTTTGTAGGAAGAGATGGCCGATCGGCTATCTGGAGTGCCGATCGGCTAACAATTTTTGGCTGATAGAATAAAAAGTGGTCGATGACCACTTTCCCTTGGCCGATGGCCATATCTTTTGGCCGATGGCCTCTTAGAGTGTCCATGGGGTGGTTCAAAAGCATCACTGAAGCTGGAATAGTTTTCAGAGGAGCATAAGTGTACAAACAGAGGCAACATGGGGCATGGCAACGGATTTCCGAACAAAGCCGATCGAGCATGCATTTGTCCCTCCTCTTGAGGCCGCTTTAACTGTTTTGTAACTTAATTAATTTGCTTAATTAGTTAAGAGTTTTGTAATAATTAATTAGCTAGGGTAGTTGATTAATTAGTTGGTTTGTATTATTTATTCAGCCCCTCCGTCGAGAGGGCAAATTTTGTAATAAGTGTGCGTGAGTGTGTGAATGTCTTCCAACCCCATGTCTTTCTCCCTTTTACTTAGTCGCTTGTTAAGGGTTGTGTAATAATTAATTAGCTTGTTAGTTAGTTAATTAGATGATTTGTATTATTCTTTCGGTCCCTCCGCCGAGAGGGCACAATTTTGTAATAAGTGTGCGCGTGTGTGATGCATGTCTTCCAACCCCCATTTCTTTCTCCCTTTTACTTAACCACTTACGATGGTTAGTTTTAGGGCATATTTCATTTAGCATCCTGATGCTTGCATGTTTGCATCCATTCATCTGTGTTGCATGCATCGACGCATCATGGTAACTGCATTGCATTTCAATTCCAAAGTTGAATACATGTATCAATTGTCGCATTTCACATGCCATTTTAGATTAGTCGAGCCTATTTCTAGTTGCATTTTACATGTGTTGCATTAGCCATCTTAACATGAGCTAGGATCATACATGATTACTAACTAGTTCTTTGTTTTGGCTCGGAGTACACTGTGAGTGTTTACGCTTTAGCATACTGCATGTGTGTTATCGATTGCCATGAAAGCATGCTTCCCATGAGGCTAATTGCTTATGTGATATAACTGCCTAAATGCTTATGGGTGGATTACTTGAATTGGAACAATTCATCAAATCCGCATTTTAGCCTACTTGCGAGTAGTAAACTTCAAATCATTTTCCAAACAAACGGATATGCAATGCTTTGTTCCAAATTAGGCGATCTAGTCTATACTTGTGTGTTCTGCGCATCACTTAGTAATACTAGCTAATAACCAGAATAAGAACGCATGTGTTTTCAAAAACAAGATATCGTGCTTAGCACAAGCCGATCTTTGATCGGGCGAGCGGGGGTGCTCATTGCATGACCTTCCCCTCTCGTACCTAAGTTCCCGAGCCGAGGCAACTTTGGTGATGATGGACACGTGGCCTTAGACGCGAGTCAGGGTTTCCTAAATTTCTCCAAACTAAAATATTTAGGTGGCGACTCTGTATCTGGCAAAGCAGTCCATGTTTGGCACTTCTTTCTTAAAAATCAGTTTTTCAAAACGATTTGCCGGATTTGAACTCTTTGGTGATTTATCAGTCTTGCATTGCACTTTGCGAGATTAGATTCAGAACCGTGACATTGAGTCCGAACTGTAGTAGCTAGAGAACAAAACGAGATTTTCTCGAGAGCTCTCCGGGCGTGTCTACAGTATCAAACGGCCTCAGGCCCAATTCAATCTTATCGAACGGCCTCGAGCCCAATTTGTTTGTGTCAAACGGCCTTTGGCCCATTTATTCATGTCAAATGGCCCCTGGCCCAATTATTTATGTCAAACGGCCTTTGCCCCAATCATTCATGTCAAATGGTCTTAGGCCCAATTATTCATGTCAAACGGCCTTTGGCACAATCATTCATGTCAAACGGCCTTTGAACCAATTCATTTTCATATTCGTATTTATCTGTGTCACATATCCGTGATCGTGATCATATTCGTATTCAATTAATCTTATGCAAAAGACTGACTTATCCACAATTCAAAATACAAATCCATAAGGCTCATATAGAAGTAACGTTTGGAAAATAACGTACTTGAACACATCTTTATTAAGACATTACTCATAATGTTCTACCGGCAGATTTGCCCTTGCGCTTGACACTACACATTTCATAACATATTAGGTTACAAGCGATTCAATCCGTTCTTAATTTATTTATTTCTCTTAGGCCACTTTCTTATCCTTTTAGGTCCTTTGCAATGCCCATTGCATGCCTAAGAGTGTTTAAAAGTGAAAGAGAACGGAAAACGAAACATGATTCAACTTTTCAACATTTCTGAAACAAGGCTCTCCACTCGAGCGCAGCTTTGGTCATTCGAGCGGACCCTTTTGGTTTGCAAAAGTTCTGGTCGCTTGTAATTTACGCTCGAGCGAGACTTTTAACGCTCGAGCGAGGAGTCATGCAAAGCAGGATATGCTCGAGTGCAGATTCGGCCGCTCGAGCCATCGTGCTATTTCTGCAAAACTTCTCAGATTTACAATTTCATGCTCGAGCGAGGCTTTCCTCGCTCGTGTGGACAGGTCAAATTCTGGGTTTTCCAGAATTCTGTTTAAAGCTCAAACTTGATATTCAAAGGTCCAAAGCTCGTGTTTTTGGTACAAAAACATAGGAACACATTACATAACATTAGAACATAAGCAATATGAGACCAATTG